ATCAGTGCAAATTGCTGTGTCGTCGATGCCACACCTCGAGCTCTGCTGCTGCTGCCATACGACTCGATGACAGTTTTAATTAATTCAATGTTATGTTACATTACACACCTAGAGCAGCAGCCAACAACGGCTCTCGGTCAGAACGCGGGTGCAACATTTTTGCACGAAATAATTCCTCTTCGTCTCTCTCTCTCTCTCTCACGCGATTCGAGGAGAAGAAGGTAGTTTCTGCTTTGACTTTTTACTGACACGCAGCAGCAGCAGCGGCAGCGGCGGTGTGGCACGCGCGTCCAAGGCACACCGTATAACGTCGAGCTCTAAATAGAACCTAAATATCCCTGCGTGCGTTCGGGAACATTTTTATTTATTTTTTTCTCTCTCGGAAATACCGAAGCCGATATAAAAATATCTATCTCTTTCTCTTTCCTCGCTCTGCGAAGTATTGAGCATCAGGCTTCGCATTTCATTATATTGTATATACGGTGTCCGGTGAAACATTATTAAAAAAAAGAGAGAAAAAAAATGCAGAGGAGAGCCCACGCAGTCGCATAAAACGCAGCGTACGCATGCATATGTACGATGTTTCTCCTGCACGTGTGTTGTAATTATACGTATTATACCGGGCCCCACATGAACCCTGTCGCTCTCAACCGCTCCCATAAAAATTTCCATATTCGTTCGCGTAATATACATTTATATACAGATTGTGTTTACATGGTTATACATCATTTACACTGTATATAGATACTCTCTATCGGTGTCGGTGCGTGAACATTTTTTTTTTCAATTTTATGTCGGTCGCAGTCGTTGTGTGCAAGGTGTCGTACGCGCGAATAGACAGCGCGAAATATACCGTTGTCGGCGACGGCGAACGGCAGAAAGCAAGCCACGAGCAAGAGGTCATTCAATAAACTACTCGGCTTTAGCGAGCTCAAATAAAAAAAAATTTAAAACAAAAAAAGAGTAGTCTCATTGACAGCTATAATAAAGTGCAGATTAGTGTTTGCACACGAGCGCACGGTGGTATATAAACGTTATCAATGTAGCAGCCGCTTAGTTAAGAAACCGAGCTTTGAAGTGCGCGAGATAATCTTTCTCTGTCGAATAAAAAAAAAAAAGGCACGCAAACTCCGGCCGCGGTCAATTGGGAGAGGAGAGGATTAGATACGGACAGTAGTGATAAAGAGAGAGACTAGTAGTATCGAGAGAATAAAAAGTGAGCGACGTAATAATGTAACGTGCGTTTTGCTGCATTGTTATACGAAGAGCCTCGCTCGTGGGCCATATCGAATGTGCAATACTAATATGCTCACGAAGCCATTCGACGACGAGATAAGACGAATTTTTTTTTTAAATAAACGTACGCAGCCTATCACTCGTAATTTTTTGGGTATATACCGCGCGCAATGTTTACGATAATGCGCGATGATGATCGTCATCGATGAAGCAAAAAAAAAAACACCAAACAAACTCACAAAATTATTTTATGTGTCATATCGATTTTTCGAATTTTTATGCCGGCCAAGGAGATCGTAATGCTCTCGCGAGTAATAACCGAAAATTCGAGCGCATATATAATAATATAATAATCGTCGCTTTCACATTTTCAAAGCCGAAGCACATGACTTACTCGCGAGCGCGCGCACACACAGCTACATAGTACAGAGCATTATTATATGTGAAGCAAGCGTGACACGAATAGGTACTCTATCGCTCCTTAGCCTATTGCAGCACCACGCGACGTGCCTGCAAGAACTACATACTCTCTCGATATTATCACAAAAAAAAAACGAGTCGAATTTGTATTTGAAATTTGTGTGTAGCTACTCTCCTTATTTCGTCTCTCTCTCTCTTTCTGGATCGACGCAACGAACACAAAAATTAGATAAGCCGAATCGCGTATTGAGTAATTAAGCGCGAGCGATCGTCGTAATTTTACAGTTTACGATGACTCTTTGCGCGCGCGAGCCAAGGCAGCTCGCGGCGTGGAATTAATTTTTTTTTTTTTTATTATCCAGTGTGATATAATGACGAAAATACCAAAATTATATTTTCATTTAAATTTGTTTTATACGGACAGGAGCTGTAGAACTGAATTGCCCCGGCTTACATAATGAAATTACAGTGGGTCGATAGATAGACTGTAATTTTTTCTTATTTTTTTTTCCTACACCATTCGAATGGGTATTTGTGTGTGTATACCGATCTCGTTTTCTTTTCACGGCACTTACATGCTTCGCGAACGAGCAAAAAGAAAGACAGAGAGAGAGAGACATGATACAAAAAAGTCGGAACACGTTGTCGTGTGTCGTTGCTGAGCTCGCGAATCCGTGTTAGTACGTATGTGTGTGTGTGTGTCGGCCCGGCGCAGAGTTTAGCCATGCAGCAGCAGCACATGCTACATAACGTACGAGAGCCGAGTTTGATCTAAAAATAAAGGAGGAGTCTCTCTCGCTCGTCCAAAAAGCCGAGAAGGGAGAGAGAGAGTGAATTCGTCTGCTTATGTGTATCGCACTGCTAAGCTCGTACTCTGCTGCTAAGCTCGTGTGCAGATCCTCTTATTTGGGTATCGAGAAACGAGAGAGAAAGAGAAAGAGAGAAGCGCTAACGAGTCATGCGAGTATTTTTAGGTTTTTTTTCTCTCTTCTCTTCTCTCGTGTCTCGATGTATCTCGCAGCTTATTTTATTCGATCGAGCATCCGCGCGCACGCATCTCGATGTGCGCGTGTGTGTATAATATCTAAAACAGATAAGGACGTGGATCGAAGATATACACACGCAACGCATGCAGCCGGGTGTAATACCTCGTTTTAGTTTTTTCGAATTTCCCGTCATTACGATCGATAAATTAAACCCAAAAATGTTGTATTCACGATATCCGAGCACGCGCGCATTCGGGACAGCTCCCAGCACCTAGCTATACCGCGTATACGGGATTTCCAATGACAATTATTTTAAAAATACGAGAGAATGTATAATCCCAATAAATCGCGTGTATGCATATGACTCGAACAGCTGATCAATGTGCCTATAAACACTGCGATGGCAACTGCCAGACGGCGTATACATACATATACGTAAATATTTTCTTTTCCGATTCTCTCCAAAAAGAGAGTCGTATACTCATAAGCATATCACATAAGCGTAATCGCGTGTTTTCCAAAGACCGAGACGAGCGCGCCTTTTTTTCGAGGGGGGTCAAATCGATCGGTTATATACTTTTGATATTATAAGCTCGTTCGCGGTTGTGTATACATATACGCTTAGCTCGTCGTGCACCGACCGAGGCGATTTCTCAATGAAAAGAAAAACGCACTTTTATCGCAAAATGATAAGCTCGTTAGAGCTTTTTTTGCACGCGCAGAGGAGTTTCGAATTCGAAACCTTTTCAACGGCTTTGTAATTGAACGCACGAATCCTGTATCGCATTTATGTACGGAGGAAATTATCAACGACTTTTTTTTCACTCTTCTCCACTTGTTAGCAGCTCTCGTGTGATTTTCTTCGAAGCGAACATTTCCACGAATATAATATACTCATGCAGCAGCAGCAACATCGCTATCGTCTTGTTATTATTATTACAAAACTTGCATCGCTGCTTTAACATATTTATTATAATATACACGTTACAACACATACACGTCCTTGGCTTCGTATTATAATACACGTATATAGAAGAGGTTTAGGAGCAGCGGCACGCGCGCCTCAGAGAGTAAAACGTCGTCTTTCTCTCTCTCTCTCTTCACAACTCTCGCCATGCGCGCGAACATCCGTTTATAAATGTGTGTGTGTGTGTGTGTGTGTGTGTGTGTGTGTGCATGTGTATAGAATACGCGTGCGCCCCGTGTGTGTGTGCGCGAGTGCGTTGCATTGCATACACGCACGGCACGGGGCACACACAGGCTCCATTTTCTGCGTCCACGACATATACTGCTGCACACGCACTCGGAAAAATTCTGCACGGAAAGGAAACGTTGCATTTTGTTATTATATATATATATGTAGCAGGCAAGCAACGACTCGACCGTCCTCGCGGGCACACGCGCAGTCTTAGCATGCTACATTCGTACGATATATACTTTAACGATATATTCATCATCGTCGCAATTGCACACGCGTATTATATATACGTCGCGCGATCGCGACTGCAGAGCCGAGCGAGTTTGACGCAGCGCGTGGCGCGCGCGAGGTGTAGTATATTACAGTGCAGCGCAGCACACGGAATTTTGCACTCGCACACATATACATACACGAATAACACGAGTATACGTTGCTCGTGCACAGCGCGAAGAAGAAAGATGAAATGTTTTTTTTTGTTCTCGTGAGACCGATATACCTGGCGTATCTCGCAAATGCATTATCTATAATAATACGATGAATCCCCCGGAGACGCACGAGTTAATATTTGTGCTTTGTGTAAGTATGTGTGTGTGTGTGTGTGCGGGTGCGCTGCTCGTGGCGTACATATATTGCACGACTCCGAATTCTTGACCCCCCGCGTGCAGCAGCACTCGTCTCGAGGACGATCGTACGCGGAACTCAAAAAAGTACCTACGAAGCGAGACGATCGTCAAGAGTAGGTACAGGTGAAAAAAGAGAGCGCCAGAGAGATCCGCGAAGAGCGCGAAAACTCCAGCTACATATAGCAGTAGTGTACACGGACGTAAACAAAACCGCATAATTAACCTCACATTTTGCGCGCTGGGCGCCTTCTTCGTCTCTGCGTCAGTGTGTCGCTCTGCTCTCCGCTTGTGTCTGTCTGTCTGTATATGCTATGGGTGTTGTGCCATCGGTATGTAGTAGTGTAGTACATCCTACTGCTACGATTGACAGCGGGCTTCGCGTTATATTCCTCGTACAGAAAACTTCCTGGACTTTGAACATCTCGTGCTTTCGTACGCATATATACCTTTTGTATATATCGCGAACGTGAACACACGTATACGAATACAACAGCAGAAAAGGCTACACATATAAAATATACAACATTGCAAACTCACATTTCGCAGCGGCAGCTTATGTATAGAATCTCCTAGGCGCCTCCCCTTTTGCTAAAGTAGCAGCAGCAGCAGCACTTTTATACGTATCCTTGACGGATTGCGAGCGTACGTGTGTGAGTGCACGTATGCGTGTGTGTATATATCCTTTACGAGCAGCAGCAGCAGAGCACCAGAACTTATACTTATGTATCCTGCACTCGCGCTCGCGTATACATATATCGATGTGTACAGAAATAATACGTATCCCTCGATAGATATTACTCTCCGTGTGCAGCTGCAGAGCTCTTTTCCTCAATTACACGTATATGTATATAATATGTATATGTACGTATCCTCCTATACATATATTATGTGCATTCCACGCGTACGTCGTCGATTTACAACGATTTACAGCGCGTGTAGTTGTTGCTGCTTGCTATGCATACGTATAGTAAATAATAAAAATTCGTGCTTTGCTCAATGGATTATTTCGGCACCAGTACACACACACGCGCGCGCACACTACGAACTATATACACACGCTTCACGCACCGTCGACGAGCGACAACAAACAAAAACAAATATATATATAACAACAATAACAACAAAACACTCGTCGCACCCTTTTGGCCACACCACGTTTATATATTTTTCGATGATTATATATTGTCGTGAGGCCGCGCCGAGCGCGCGAAAACGAGCCAACTATGTAAGTTGAATCAACTGCAGCGAGAGACGTTTGCAATATTAATTTTCTATCTATACATAAACTGACGATTTATGTATAAACAACGACTCTACTCTCGGTACGCATAATAACACCAACACGCGAGTTGTGTCTCAATCTTTCTCTCTCTCTCTCTCTCTCTCTCTCTCCGCACTATCACCACACCACCGCACTTGTACTGTGCACGCGAGACTGTAACCACGACGACGAGCCAGTAGGGACTGACCGCGCTGAACTCCGAGATTCGAGCGCGGAGCGAGACAGGCAGCAGCTCCGGAGTATAAGAGTCTTTCGCGTATTATACTTCGCGGAGAGAGAGAGAGAGCGACTAGCGGTGTGCGCCACCCGCTATGTATATAACACATACACACATATACGCGCGCGAATTGCAGAATTTCGCTCGCGCTAGCGAACGACTAGCGACATCTCGCGGGGAATCGTTCGAGCCGAGAGAACTGCTTTATTGACGTTCGCGCGACCAAACTCCGAATTTCCGTGCACTTGTTGTTGTGTGCGCGATATTGCGGGAGAGAACACAGTCGCGTCGCGTCTGCACAAGCAGCAGCAGCAGCAGCAACAGCTGATCGTGTATAACTCCGTTATATCTCACTCCCGCACGCACGCATATATAAACAAACAAAATATATAAGTAGTGCGTCGTAAGCATATAATTTGCAAGCGCGCGCGTGTCGAATCCCAAAAGTGACGTACTTAAAGCCACCGATCGCCAGCATGGAGAACAGCGGGGAGAGCGGCGAGGACAGCGGATCCCTCGGCACCGCGGCCTTCCTGGCCGGCAACAACATCAGCAGCGGCTACATCATCCATTCCGACGATATGGAAGGTTAGTTTTTTACCGCCTCGTGTATGTATACAATGGCGAATGACACTTTGACAGCTTCGTTGATATACCGATGTTTTTCGAATCTTTGACAGATGATCCGGAAAACACGGACGACTCGAATCACGCCTCGGACCATCTGCACGGCGGCCACAGCGGCGGTGGCGGCACCCTGCGCGAGCAGGACCGCTTCCTGCCCATCGCCAACGTCGCCAAGATCATGAAGCGCGCCATCCCGGACGCCGGCAAGATTGCCAAGGACGCGCGCGAGTGCGTCCAGGAGTGCGTCTCCGAGTTCATATCGTTCATCACGTCGGAGGCGAGCGACCGCTGCCACATGGAGAAACGCAAGACCATCAACGGCGAGGACATACTCTTTGCCATGACCACGCTGGGCTTCGACAATTATGTCGAGCCGCTCAAGCTCTATCTGCAGAAGTACAGGGAGGCGACCAAGGGCGACAATCCCGTGCCGCCCATCAATCTGCTGCCGGCCGGCGGCGAGGACGGCAGTGGCGGCGGCGCGACAGCGGCGGTAGTGCAGGCCATCAAAACCGATCAGAGCCAGCAGTCGGTCACCTACGACGATCAGATATTCACCATCGCGTCGGCCGGTGACGCGGCCACCTCGGACGCGCCGATCATCTACAGCTACACGACGGGCGACGGTATCACTCAGCAGTTTCATCTGCATCAGTGACCCTAAAGTGGATCCTGTATAGACGAACTTGAACAATGAATAATGTCGATGAAGCTAGAGAAGGCGAAGGATCGCCAACGCTTTTTTTCAAGTAATAATAAGGATAATAATAGGTGGTGATTAACGTTTCAAAGACACAGTGGTGATATAAACAAGTGCTTTTTAACGATTAAGTACTTTTGTATAATAATAATTATAACTTATTTTATAGATAAAAATTAAGACTTAAATGTACTTTTTTCTCTGAATAAGGTGAGTTTTGTTTTTATGACACTCATATAGATTCAAGGTATGAGCCAAATTCACTGACTAATGACACTTTTGAACTATATTTATTATTTGTAAAAACCCTATTGGATTGTAACAATATACATACTCACAAGTATACACACTCTAAGATTATCTCTGAACTGCTTCAGTGAATAATTAACTGCGTCACAAAACAGAAAAAGAAATAATCTTAGCACTGTACGAATACAAAGAAAGTTTTGTTTATTGAAATCATGTTGGTATAATATTTATCGGTATATTCTGGTAAAAAAAATAGGCATATAAATGCGTATTGCAAAAAGTTATTTTCAACTTTTATTGTAAAAAAATGTCTTGAGTATTAATGATACATGTATAAAATAATTTTATTTGTACAAAATATTGAATAAACAAGTAAATGCTTTGATACAAATGAAAAGAAATACACTGTGTCTTTTTCATTGTATTGATCATGAAAATTAATAAATTGATGCAGATTAAATAAAACGTAGGCATTTACTTATTCGTTCTTCTCACTATTAATGGAACATTAAACATTCATATCACAAGCTTGTTTAGAAAAGTACAAATATTACAACTCATTTTTAATCTAGTATTATGGAAGTTTTATGGCAAAAACAGTGATTTACATGAATTGAATACGATGCAATGAATTGACTTTTGATTAAAGTAAAGTAATACTTTGAAAAATTTTAAACCCATAACCATCTTTCATACGTATATTACTTATAAGTATGAAAAGATCTATAGATTGTAACATAAAACAGTCACTTATTATTCAAGTTTACATGATCAACATGAATGAAATAATAATTTATCGCGTTTTACGCTTTGCCGCGCGCATTTCTTTCTCCATTTCGAACTGTCGTGAGTCGATTCTTTGAAGAAAATCTTGCTTTTCTAAGTACCCATTTTTGCCGCGATTATAAGTTGTTAATTCTTCTTTAAGATCGTTTTCTTCTTTGAACTTATCCCATTGAAGCTTAGATTGTTCTAACGTATTGATCTTGGTTTTTTTGTTGAGATTGCCCAGGACACTAGAAAGACCCCTCTTTAGAACTGGGCCTTTTGAAGGTATCAGTGGCGATGAAATACTTTTACTATTGCTTCCAATGACTGACGTGAGCGGCTTTGTCACTCTATTTGCCCTAATTTCATCTAGAATTGAATTCTTTGTAGTTACTTTAGGGGTGATTTCTGTACTTCTTATTTCTTTTGTACTTTTATCAGTAGGCAATTCGTTAGAAGTTTGTGGCTTATCTACAGATTGGGTTGTTTCAGTCTTAGTTGCTTTTGTCTTTGAAGAGGATCCTGTAAAAATTTGTCACATTACTTAAAATTCATGCGTCAATTGAATTTTAATTATAATATATTCTTACCAGTCTCGCTTAAGAAACTCTGCCACAGTGCATCACTTCTAGCCCTCTCTTCGTCCGCAGTCATTTCACTTTTGCTGTCTGTCTTTTCATCGTCATTGCTGGATTCCTTGTCATCGGCACTGGACAGTCTTGTCGTCTTCTTCCTGATCTTCTCTCCAGCACCTCTTGACTTCCTCTTCAGATTACCCTTCTTCTTGCTGAGTTTCTGGTCATCCGTGTCGTTCTCCTGTACCTCGTCCTCGGCGTCGGAGCTGCCGCACACCGAGCCCTCGGATGCCTCCTCGTTCGGGACGTACTCCTCGTCGTCGCTGTCCGAGCTGCTGTACTCTTTGTCCTCCATCCTTGCGGAATTGAATCGGTCGATCTCTCGTGCAACGAGCGTCTGTAACGTAACGCCATTCAATGACACGTAAAATTGATTCGACTTGCCATGTCATTCGATGCACGAAGAGTCAAGTTAAAAAAAGTGCCATGTGCACGTAAGGGTACCCGACAGCCACCATTGACAATCGAGGCGGACCTTCGTGCAAAATTTTTCGCTCGGACACATACTACATTAGCTCGTAACATTGCGTACCAAGAAAACGTGATTAGTTACGCAGTCATGATCAGCTAATTACGTACGGCAAACGGCTTACCTTATTGTAATTGTTTAAAGCGACGTTCTGGTCTGTCTATAAATAAAGTCAATATCCCTCGACGATGATAATCGGAGTGTCGTCAGGCTGTGTGTGTGAGTGTGTGTTCGCCAGCACGTTGAGTCTCGTGAACGGCAAGTTTGTAACTAAGGCTTTGGTCTACGCTTGCTGCAGTGCAGTGTGCATTAATTCTGGCGAAATAGTACCGTAACCAACTTCACGAGGCTCTCTGCCGTCTGCGCAAGCACGAGGCAGATCTCGCGCAACACTCTCGAGACTTTCGAGCGATCGAACTCGCGCCTAGGCGATTCTTTCGTCTGCGCGAGGCGATTGCCTTTTTCTCGCGTGTTTACAGTTCGTACACGTGCGCGCGTGCAACTGTACGAGTTGCACTGATATAACTCTTTTTCTTTTTTTTTTTACATAACGCGACCCAATAATTGTTTTTCGTACGAACTCATGAAAAATTAATCACAACAATCGTGATATGGCATCATCGAGATTATATCAGTGCGTAACTCAGTGCAGGGCTCAACTATTGTTTTCGTGTTTCAAAAAGCGCAATGTCTTTCACGGCGGTCGGCTATTTTGGAAGGACAGCGACAGTTCGTCGTACCCACTGACCCAGATCCGATCGCTGTCGTCGTCCTCGGGCACGGACGACAACGTCGGAGCCGAGCTCACGAGCAGTTTGAAGAAGGCCGACTTGCTGAAGACGTTGAACATTTTCGTGCAGCGAAGAGAGGTCAAGGAGCTGGCCGCCGAGTACGGTCTCAACCAGAATCTCTGGCAGCAGGCCTTCAATAGTTTTCGCAAGTATTGCGTCGAGGCGGAATCGCTGCCGGTCGATCTGCACGTCACGATCAGCGACATCATACAGGGCGCCGGTAACATCACCGACATATTTCCCTACTTCATGCGTCACGCCAAAGAAATTTTTCCCCACATCGACTGTCTCGACGATCTGAAGAAAATCAGCGATCTGAGGACGCCGGCCAATTGGTATCCCACCGCGAGGTCCATCAATCGAAAGATCATCTTTCACGCCGGACCCACGAACAGCGGCAAGACTTATCACGCCCTGGAGAAATTCATCGGTGCGTCCAGCGGTGTTTATTGTGGACCCTTGAAGCTGCTGGCCGCCGAGGTGTTCAACAAGTGCAACAGCAAGGGCACGCCTTGCGATCTGATTACCGGTGAGGAGAGAAAATTGGTGAACGGCGAGGACAATCGCTCGAAACATGTGGCCTGCACCGTGGAAATGATGGATCTGAACAATCCATGCGAGGTCGCGGTAATCGACGAGATTCAGTTGATTCAAGATTCCGGCAGAGGATGGGCATGGACCAGAGCTTTGCTGGGGGTTCCTGCGACCGAGATACATCTGTGCGGTGAATCAGCTGCCATTGACTTGGTGCAAGCTTTGTGTGGCACTACCGGTGAAACAGTGGAAGTCAGAAAATATAATCGATTGACAAAACTGGAAATAGAAGACACAGCACTTTGCTCGTTGGCTAAATGCGAACCGGGTGATTGCATAGTATGTTTTAGTAAAAATGATATTTATGCAGTGTCACGTTATCTTGAACAGCAAAACCAAGAAGTGGCTGTTATATATGGCAGCTTACCACCTGCTACTAAACTTGCGCAAGCAGCAAAATTCAATGATCCAAATAGTTCTTGTAAAATATTAGTTGCTACTGATGCCATAGGAATGGGACTGAATTTACATATAAGAAGGATAATATTCTATTCTATGATCAAACCATCTATTAATAAAAAAGGAGAGCGAGAGATGGATACTATATCAGTTTCTACAGCATTACAAATAGCAGGAAGGGCAGGAAGATATGGAACTCAATGGGAGCAAGGCTTTGTCACTACTTTTAAACCAGATGATTTGGTAACTTTGAAATACTTATTGGGTCAACAGCCAGAAATTATAACACAAGCAGGGTTGCATCCAACAGCTGATCAAATAGAATTATATGCATATCATTTACCAAAAGCAACTCTATCGAATCTTATGGATATCTTTGTTTCACTATGTACAGTGGATGATTCCATGTATTTTATGTGTAATGTTGATGATTTCAAATATTTAGCTGATATGATTCAACATGTTGCACTACCACTCAGAGCAAGATATGTATTTTGCTGTGCACCTATAAATAGGAAGTACCCATTTGTTTGTTCAATGTTTCTGAAGTTTGCAAGACAATTTTCTAAAAATGAACCAATAACATACAGCTGGTTGTGTCATCATATTGGATGGCCTATAGCTTTTCCAAAAAATCTCATAGAACTAATGCACCTTGAAGCTGTATTTGATGTTCTAGACTTGTATCTCTGGCTGGGTTACAGATTTCCTGATGTATTTTGTGAATCAGCTACTGTTCGAGAAATGCAAAAAGATTTGGATGCAATTATTCAAAAAAGTATACTCCATATAACGCAACTTCTCAAAGGTGGTGATTTCAGTGCTCCAAGTTATATTAGTTCAGTGACTGATGAGACAAATCCTTATCATTTCAATTCCCAAAATAATAACAATAATAATAATGGCAATAACTTACCTCTAAAAGAAGGAAAATTGACTGAAAGATTATTGTCACAGGGATTACTTACACCAAGTATGTTACATGAACTGCAAAAAGAGTGGAGCCAAAATACACAAGACCACATGCCAAAACAAAAATCTAAAAATTCTATCCAAAATGACTACAGATTAAGACGGAAGTTTGCAAGAAAACCAAAATAGTGATATTTTATCTTGAAATTTTTATTGACATTTGGACAATTCAACTGAGCCTATTTTGAAAAAAAAAAATTTTAGCCCATTGTTTGTAAATATATAAATATTTAAATAAATTGTAATATATTGAACTAATTAATGGTTTATTCATCTACATTATTTAATAAAAATATCAACAACTGTTTAATTGCTATTAGTTGACCCCAGTTTTCTTAATCCTTGGGACTCGTGGATCATCTGGTCTCAAAACTAAAAATTAAAATTAAATACAATTCATTATTTTCCTTCTTATTCAGATAAGTAAATTAAATTATTAATGCACTCACTTAATTCTTTATTTAAATATCTCAAATTCCATCCTTTTGGATCTTGGTATAAATATGAACCAATGGACAAAGTAATTCCAAGAAGAGCAAGACCACTTGATGCCATGACTTCAGGTATTTCTATCCAACCTTGCCTCCACAGGCTTTGTATTTTGGTAACTACAGGGATCAAACAAAACAATAATATGTACTAAAAACTCAATAATACATCATGATATGCAATTCAAAGTTTTAAATTTAATAATTTTGTTCAATTTTTTTTTGAAATTTGATTTCAGAACCAGTGCAAATAGAAAACAAAATGTTATGTAAACAGTAAGTAAAAGGCATTGTCAACTAATTTTAGCAATTTTCACATAATTTTTGTAGATAAAAACGTACAACGTAAAGTAAAAATTCATTTATTATATGTTTTAGTCATGTTTATAAAATGTTTGATCTTTTTAAACCTAATATCATAGAAAATGTAGAGAAATATGCTTATTATGACAACAATAACATCTTAAAGATTTTTTGTCAAGTGGATTTTTAAATGCATCAAATAACGTACATGTTGAAACTTTGTATGCAGCGGACATGTCGAAGTATTTTAATTCTCCAAACACCAGATGATCCAGGCGAAAAACGTTGGTAGAATATCAAAATAAATAAATTTCTTCGCAATCTTTCTTGATGTAGCAGACGAATTGAGGTTGGATTTAGCTCATTTCACCAACTGATCGATACCATTCTGAAGTTGTCACTTCTGCTGCTAGTCGATATTGTAGGAAACTTATTAATGAAGCCTACTTTAAAAAACTTTTCCATCTTTTATTTAAAAAAATCGCTAAGGATAATAAGAAAAAGTAAGGCTTAACTTGGGAAGTCAATAAGGTTGCTTTTTTCGTTTATACTCCAAAGTTGTGAAGTCTGTATATTTGTTACATTGTACGCAACTTTAATCATGCATAAAATATTAAAATTGCATAATTATTAATTCATATAACAATAAAAGCTGAAACCTCTCAAAGCTAGGAGTCCTTATCTTATTATTAATTGTACCAACAATGTGAGGATAATGTGCATAATATGCCTTAAAAAATGAAAATAAAAGTCACATTACGTGTAAGCAAATAATTGTCTTGTCACTGTCAGTTTAGTTCAGTCTCTGATCACTGATGTTCACAGTTCACATAGCTGTCCATGCTGCAACGTGCAGCGCGTCAGTCGCCAGTAATTTTTCGACTGCTAAATTGCTAAGTCTAACGCGATTGCAACTCTATAAAATAAACCTTAGCCTTATTTTCCATTCCCATTACAATTGATTTTGGACCACGTCGCCCACGTGGGAGTGGAGCAACCCACCTTCTGAGTAATAACTAGTCAGACTGGCAACTATTTGGTGTCGTGTTTAGATTAGTTTTTCATTAATACGTAGAGTAGAAAGAACTGCAGTATATGTGTGACGAGACCTCAGACTTCAGAGGCGACACGTGCACGTAAGTAACGCAATTTAACGACTGTCCTGAGAGACGAAATTGGTCAGCAAGTATTTGAGTGTTTAATAAGTGTTGATCAAGTGTCAATATTGATTCAGTGTTGATTATTGCTGCTAATAGTCTTATAAAATTAGATTCAGTGTTTTCAGTGTCTTTAACTCGTGAGATTCATTAGTTCAGAAAATGGATAAAAGTCATGATAAAAAAGCGAATCATAGGAGTAGATCCCAAGAACGTGAAAGGGATAGAGCTTGTAGAGAACGTAGGCGTTCAAGAAATCGGTCCAGAGACAGTAAAAATAACAGAAAACGCTCTAGATCTGGCCAAAGAGACAGATCCAGAAGTGATGATCGTGTACGGGGAAAAGATGCAGACAGGTCAAAGTACAGAAAAAGGGTCGATTACGAAGAAATAGAGCATAATAAGGATAAAAGCAAAGAAGAGAAAATTTACAGAACCAATTTCATAGCTAATGACGATAAAATAAAACCTAAAATCTCTCATGAAGCTGAAAAAGTTGGTATTGATGCATCTGTTAAAAGGGTACCGCTCAGTTTGATAGAATTATTGGCTAAAAAAAAAGCAGAAGAAGAGGCTTTGGCTAAACCTAAATTTATTTCTAAACAAGAGCGAGCAGCTCTAGCTTTGGAAAAACGTCAAAATGAAGTTAATGAAGTTAAAAAACAACAAGAAGAAAAGAAAAAAAATGAAAATAATGACAGATATCATCCATCTCATAATCAAAATTGGAAAAGTAGAGAAAATCAAAAATCATGTGAAATGAGATTCAAAGAAAATTGTGATGAAAAAGTAATGGAAGCTATTCAGAAACAATATCTGGGATTGGGAAAAGAAAAAAAGAGAGTTCGAAGATTAAATGATAGAAAGTTTGTATTTGATTGGGATGCATCTGAAGATACATCCATAGATTATAATGATATTTATAAAGAAAGACATCATGTACAATTTCTTGGTAGAGGAAAATTGGCTGGAATAGATGTGAAAGTTCAAAAGCGTGATCAAAGTAAATTTTATGACAAATTATTAGATAAAAGAAGAACAGAAGGTGAAAAAGAACAAGAAAAAGTACATTTAATAAAAGTACAAAAAAAGGAAGATAAGCAGATGTGGGATGATCGTCATTGGTCAGAAAAAGCCCTAAATGAAATGACTGAAAGAGATTGGCGAATTTTTAGAGAAGACTATGATATTACTATTAAAGGTTCTAAAATTCCAAATCCTATAAGATCATGGAAGGAATCTGGCTTTCCTCATGATATTTTGCGCATAATAGACAAAGCTGGTTATACAGATCTCACTCCTATTCAAAGACAAGCTATTCCAATTGGCTTAGAAAATCGTGATATTATTGGTGTTGCTGAAACTGGATCAGGTAAAACATTAGCTTATCTACTTCCACTTCTTTTTTGGATAACTAGCCTCCCAAAAATAGAAAGAAATAAAGAAGCAGAGCAAGGCCCATACAGTATTATTTTAGCTCCTACACGAGAATTGGCTCAGCAAATTGAAGAAGAGGCAAATAAGTTTGGAAAACCGTTAGGAATTAGAACAGTACTTGTTGTTGGTGGATTATCTCGAGAAGATCAAGGATTTAAATCAAACATGGGTTGTGAGATTGTAATTGCAACACCTGGAAGATTAATCGATTTACTTGAAAATAGATACTTAGTACTAAATCAATGTACTTATGTTGTTCTTGATGAAGCAGATCGAATGATAGATATGAATTTTGAATCTGATATCAAAACAATTCTAGAATATATGCCAGTTAGTAATCGCAAACCTGACTCTGAAGATGCTGAAGATAAAGACAAACTTCTAGCGAATTACAATACAAATAAGAAATTTAGACAAACTGTGATGTTTACAGCTACAATGCCACCGGATGTTACAAGATTAGCTAGAGCTTATCTTAGAAGACCAGCTGAGGTGAACATTGGAAGCATAGGAAAACCAACCGATCGGGTAGAACAAATCATTCACATTTTGCATGACGATCATAAACTAAAAAAACTCAAAGAAATTCTTCGCCGAGAGATTAAACCACCAATTATTATTTTTGTTAATGAAAAGAGAACTACAGATTTTGTTGCAAAGGAACTTGAAAAGTCTGGTATAGAAGATGTATGTACGCTTCATGGTGGAAAAACACAAGAACAAAGAGAGTATGCTCTTGCTTCTCTGAAAGGGGAAAGTAAAAAAATTTTGATTGCTACAGATGTTGCTGGCCGTGGTATTGACATAAAAGATGTATCAATGGTTATTAATTATGATATGGCAAGAACTATATCAGATTACACTCATCGTATTGGGAGAACTGGTCGTGCTGGTAAAACTGGTATTGCCATATCATTCTGTACGAAGGATGACAGTTCTCTCTTTTATGAATTAAAACAAATTGTTCAAGCAAGTCCAGTTTCAACATGCCCTCGAGAGCTGTTAAATCATCCAGATGCCCAACATAAAACTGGCACAGTAGTTGCGAGAAAACGATAAGTTTTCTTTTGAATCATGCTTAAATCAAATTTGATAAAAATTAAGTTTTATAACATTTGTCACATCTCAAAGCAATATCAATGAATTTTTTTATTTCAATGCGATTTTTAAGAATGTATATTTTTTTTATTGAAAATTTTAATAAAAAAAAACTTCAATTATTTTGAAAATTATTATTTACCTAAAAATGTTAGTTTTTATAGTAACTTATTGGAGATATCAACCTATAACTACGAAATAATTTAATAAACTGATCTCAGATTTCAATACAGTTGCATGCATTTTTTAAAGTTATTTGTAATTTAGAAAGTATATAAATACACAAAAACTAATTTTAATCACCAATAACATGGGAGGTGTGAAATACAAAAACATTCAAACACATTTTTACACATGATCATATTTTTAATATAAAAAACATACATTTTATTACAATACTGGTTTGATGGTAATTTACACCTTATGAATTACATTATGTACATTGAATGTATTAATTACATTGAATTTCTAATAAATGTTTAAATACAAAAATTGCCCAAAGACTTCGGGAGGCAAGTATGCCCGGTGACAAATATTCTCGTAACATGAAAATGTGACTTGCGCATCAAATCCGGCATGATGTGCTGCATTTTTCATTTTACAAATTTGTACGTTTAACTCGGTGGCCAACTTTTGTAATCCTCTTGATTCAACTATGACATATCTCTCTATTAGTACCTTGACGTCAATACTAAACGGAAGGCACTTCGAAATAGTATCTAAATACGAATCTACATCGTTGAACCATTGATTCGTGCATACCTTGAGCAAATAGGCAATGTCGAAATTGCCGTGAAAAAATACCCAAGTTATTTTCGGCGATCCTAGAATGCCAGCATTTACAAATAATTGTTGAAAATCGCTAATTTGTACTCCGTGTTCCAGAAACTTATTAAAATCAAATCCATGCTCCTTCAAAAATTTAATGCTCTCTGGATTTGAGACGTCTTTTTGTTCGTCAAATCTGAAATTGACCTGCCATGTGTTGATGTGTTGAGTCTGGCCTTCATTATCCAATCCATAAAAAGCAAAGCCGAATTGTATTGGCTGCGTGTGTTTCAAAGTATTATTTATGTAGTCCCATTCAGCTTCTTGGGGATGATTGAATAAAAATTGCCTTTTCTTTAAGAGAGCTCCTGGGAACTCCACATCAAAAGCAATGAACGAAGTGATTTCCAAGGCGTTTCTCATGTCTTCGATCGCCGATTCCAAATTAGCATCCCAAACTTCCGTAATAGTTAGTAGACCCGGTGGTAGCATTTTCTGAAAATGAATTGAGAGGTTTTTATCAAGCATACCAAAAACTTAATTGATTCTTTCATTGCTTAAAAAGTTGGCACGTATCTCATAAAGTATTCTGAATAGTCGGCTCTTAGCCATGCCGTACCGCTCGCCCTCATAAAAATTTCCAATAGGATCCCGCGAAATTTCTATTGGAATCCTATAGGACTCCTGTAGGAATTTCGCGAGATCATATAGGAAATTTTTATAAGGGCGAGCACAGAGTCCATCACCGGACTCCCAAGTCTTGCGCGGCTTGTTATAATTCCATGTAGAGTAAAACACTTATTACTGTGCCCAAGACATAACCTTCAATTCCCTATTACTGAACATTTGATTACATGTTAAAATCCAGTAATATGGACAGGCACAGTAATAGGTGCCTATCCCACGTAATAGTGGGTTTGCGTGGGGCATTTTTTAATGTATCGCAACTTTTCTAACTCGCCGTGGCTGGGGAAATTATGACTGAAAAGATATTGTGCACATGGTATCCGATAGATTTTTGTCTGTTATTTCCAATGGTGGTATCAGTTTTTCGAAAAAATGAAATTTCATGGAGAAAATTGACTTCAAAGTTAACTAAATTTTTCGGCAAGTATGCACCTCCAAAAACGGTATTTTCGGACGAATTCTGGCCGCGCGTAAGAGTTTATCATCTTTATGTAACGCATATCTCGTCGTCTTCTGTTACCACGTTGTCTTTGTTGTGGTGATTTTTCATGAATTTCAAAAAAACCCTAAAATGGCCATCTTTGGGCCTCTGAAAAAGAGTGATAGATGGTCCCAAAAATTCTAATAAAATTTGGGGACATTTCTGACATCGGGAACAGCAAGTTTTTCATATTTGCAGAAAAAAAAATTTTTTGGCCATTCGATTTCACAGAGAATCGGCCATATATTTTACATACAGTTTTACATACATCAGCGGCCCTAAAGTGACATTTTCATGCTACCGAGAGGAAACTAATGTAATTTTTAGGTCGCAAAATGAAAACTTACCTTTGATTTTTCAAAACACTACACTTGTACACGAATGGTTACTCGTCAAAATGTAAGAAACACGTGCGTTTGAATTATCCGTTGATGTCTCCAAGCCAATGGTTTTAACTAGACTGATTGACTTTCACTAATGAATTTAGAAAATCGGCCTAGTATAATAGTCCGGGCGCTGGTGACATTTGAGTGGACTTACGAGATCCCCTCGGCGAGTTGACGGATTTCTATGTTTTTTGGGTCGCTGAAACCGAATTTGAAGGTCGCCAGGCCGAAATCCTGGTCAATTTTTTGTTATAAACAAATTAATTGTTTAAACAGCCATATCTTGAAAAATATTGAAGATAGATTAAAACAATTTGTTTTTATTTTATTCATCTTTGAAAAACAAAGAAATTCCATTAAATTAATTGAAAATCCGTCCACTAGAAAAAAAGTTATGCAATAATTAGTGTAAAATACGTCTTTTTTCACCTTTCAACCTCTGTAACTTTGCTCGTATTAGTGCGATCGAGCTCCTGGACGTCTCATTTTAAAGGTAATAACCTACAGAATGATGTAACATAATTTTTATGTAGGTAAAATTGTTTATAATGCAATCTGTA